TCTAGAGCACCCTTCGTGGTCTGCCTCAAAAATAGCAAAACTATTAAAATTCCCAAAGTCAACGGTGAGTCTTGTAATCAAACGTTACAAGGATACTCTGAGTGTGGATAGAAATGAAGCGTTGAGAAGATGTTTTTTTTTCGTTTCGAATTCAACGGAGGGATGAACATCATGGCATTGTTGGGACGTTGTAAGGTTGACTGGACTCACTGTGATGGCCGACACTGGAACTTCTGTGATGCATTAACGTGCTGCTGAGTGGAAGTGACTTGACGACTACAGGCAGCTGAAAGCGATAAACGTTGCTTGACGTGAAATGCAGCGTTGCCAGATTGTTTGAAAGATTATCGGTATCGAAGGTATTAAAAAATCGGTATTTATCGGCATTTACTATTTAATTCATTTTATATTTTTGAAAGCAACATTTTTAACAATGGTGACGACTGGGATTTGAGAGGAATTGCTTTGTTTAACGGCTTTCTCAGTCTTAAAAAACTCTTTAATTTTTTAATTTAATTTTTAAAATTATCGTTGTTCTCAAATTGTGATCTAAATTGTGAACAAGTTGTTTTTTTTTTCAATTAAATATCATTAAATGAAACCAAAATGTGAAAAATCAGCCACAACAACGACTAAACTATTGGCAATATCGACAAAAAATATTTTCCTTTGAAAAAGGCCACAACCCATGGCCGAAATGTCGAGCAAATTACATCGTAGTCGTTGCAGTGTTGCAGTGACTGAGAAAGCCGTTAATCAAAGCAAAATTTTTGCTTTTGAACTATGATCGAAAAATTCCGTAAGAAAACTCCGGGGAATGTTTGAATTAGCTTCTCAACGAAGCTGACAAAACATCCACAGAAAGACGAAAGAAGCTCTCCTGGATGAAGTTCGAGTAAAGTTCTAAGAAAAGTTAGAAAAACATCCGAGACACGAATTGAGAAACTTATGGCGAAAATTTAAATAAACTATCGGAAGAAAATTGGATGTCATATCCAAAGGAAGCCAGAAAAGTTTCGGAAATCGGAAGTAAATTTTCAAAAGTAGCCATTTCCAGTAAAAGCCAGAAGAAGCTCGGAAAAACCTTCCAATGGAAGTCGAACAAAAAAGCCTTTGGCTTATGGTCAAACTTCCAGAACAAGACGAAAGAAATTTCTGGGAGAATTAATTGAACATCCTGGAGAAGACGAAAGAAACTTCCTAGAGACACTGGCAGAAACTTCCTAAGGTAGATTGGAAGAAACATCTGAAGAAAGTCGGAAGCCAGAGCGCTTACGGAACATGTGAAAGTAACAAGTAAATAATTCATAAAACATCCCTGAAGACGCCGCAATTTCCTTCAAGTTTTCGGAACAGTCCTGAAATGCACTTAGGAATATTCCATAATTCTTCGAAATTCCTTAAAAGTTCTTGTAATTTTCCTGAAATTAGGGAATATCTCTAATTTTTTAATTTTAATTTTTAAAAGTTATCGACAATGCCATTAAAAAAGCATAGAACTCCCTATAAAATGTTCTCGCAATGTTCTACTGTTCATGTTACTTCCCTAACGTTTCCTAAATTTGCATGAGCCCCTCAGGACATTGCTGAAGTTTTTGGAAATTGCCTGAGTTACTCGGAACTCCTTTATAATTTCAGTAATTTCATTGAAATTTGATCTGTTCTGATGTTCTCTGAGCTTCACTAAAGTTCCTGAAAACCATTAAATTTCCCTGAAGTTCTTTGAACTTGTGAAGATATTTAAAATATTTATGATGTTTCCTTAAGTTCACTAGAGTTCGCTGGACATTCCTGAAATTTCCGGGTTTTCGAATTGTAACAGAAGTTTTTGAAACTATCTTTAATTTATCGAAACAAACACAAACGTCTAGACTTGTCTGAAGTTTCAGAACTTCTTAAATGTTCCTGCAGCTTGTGTGAATTCGCAATAAAAATCTGATAGCATCCTTGAAGTTCCGGAAAAGTTGAAAAAACTGGCGGGAGAAGATGAAAGAATTATTCGAGCGAAGGCTGAAGAAGCTTCTAAGGTAAGATGGAAGAAAATTTCAGGGAAAGTTAAAAAATGAATACAAACTTCCGGAAGTTAAATTATGTTTAAATACTATTTCTCGATTCCCTAGGCATAACCGGAAAGAGCCATCGACTAATCAAAAGGAGGAAATGCAAACATTAGTCAAAAGAGTATCAAGCATAAGGCATCTTTAGAGATGATTTTTTTTTAGAATTTTTTTTTTTTGTTTAATAATTTATTTGATAAGGCTCAACCGAATTAACTTTACAGAGCCGAGGATTCTTGGTCACTATACAATACATCTTAAAACTATAGTCAAAAGGTACAACACAATAAACACTTTATCTTCCGCTATCCAAAAAGCCTCCTCCATCAGAACTGGAGCCGCTTCCAGTAGTTTCATTGTATGGCAAATTGTTGTACGCCAACGAGGGTCAGAGCGCGTCCATTGCAGCAATGGACGCAAAATGTGGTCAGCACTCACACACTCATCACGAAACGGTTGCTTTCCAAAGTCGACGACGCATCGACCGAAAGAACTGCTGATGAAGAACAATGAGGAGGACCACACAATGGTTGCTGCCGAGGAAACAGACGATCGCGTAGCACACATCGAGAGTGGCCTGCTTTTGTCGACAGCCGAGTGAACACTGTTTTAGAATTTTGAAGGCTAAAAAAATATGAGGTTTTCAAAAACATACAAGTCTCTCACAAAAAAAAATGTCCGAAATTCGAGCGAGTTCAGGCAATAATAATTTTGATTATTCAAAAAAAATCGGTATAAATCGGTATAAAATCATAAAAATCGGTATTCTGAGGAACCTTATCTGTATATCGGTATCTAGTTCGGAAATCGATATAAATACCGATAAATCGGTATATCTGGCAACGCTGGTGGAATGTTCATATTGTGGACGCACTTGCCTGCTGCGACAGAGTGGAATACCTCTTCACCAACTTCGTACACAGGACCGGGATGGTTGCAGGTCGCTGGCGTTAGTGGCTCGACTGTGACGAGTGGATTAGGGGATTCCGTAAGGTATGCAGGCGTGAGTGCTGATGATGAGAAAGTAGGGTACAATGCTCGATTGGATTCGCCAAGATCAACTGAGAAGCATCGGCGAGAGCTTGAACTGGCGTTGTAAAGCTGAAAGCCACTGTCATTATCGGAAGTGATACGTTCATATTGAATGTGTACTTGCCTGCGATAACGGGCTGGAAGACCCCTTTACCAATATCGTACACAGAGTCGGGGATGACTGATGGAGTGACTCGACTGTGACGATGGGGTTAGGGGTTACCGTGGGATTTGCAGGCGTGCATCCCGGTGACACAAGTGCTGACGATGATAATGTTGATCGACTGAATACGTCGAGAACATCCATGAAGCATCGGCGTGAGTTTGTAAATAAATTTAGTGGTGTTGAACGGCTGGAAGCGATCGGCATTACCGGAAGTGTATTGTTCGAATCGATTGTGTACTTGCCTGATGAAGCAGAGTGGAAGACCACATCTCCGTACCCAAACACAGGACTGGGACTGAAGAGCGCCGGTAGGAGAGGCTGAATTGTGATGGGGTGGATTAAGGGCTTCCAAATCGCTTGATTTATTGCGTCCCGGGCTGGAAGAGATCAGCTTAGATTCATAATGGAACTGATCGAGGATGATGAAGCTTCCGGCAGTACTAATGGCGTGATTGGTTTTTTGGTCTTCAGCGAGAATCGAAATTGTTGAGACCCGTAATCCTCGAACTCTCGAAACAGCAGTCCTTCTGGCCAATTTACAGGGTTAAGTGCTTTGATCAAGTCCTATTTTGAAAGACACGAACGAAAACGTGTTGTTGTCTTTGCATTTCGGCACGAGCTTCACTACTGGTGGATCGCTGTCGATTTCGTCATGGTGCGTACGGATTCCACAGGGATGTCTGGGTAAATTCTGGACAGATATAGCCAAAAATATTGTTCCACATTGTTTTTGAAAATGGGAACTGAATCAACATTATCCTGCGTTTGTTTGCTCCCAATTTGGCATTTATCAGGATCCCGTGCAGTTGATTCCATCTCGTAGGGACGTTTAGCACCCCTTCGTTGATCGATGGTAGGCCAGAGAGAGTTTGTAGCTGGTGGGAGTTGTGCAATGGGCCTTGAATTCAGTTGCTTAATCACGTCGCTAGCGTCGCGACGCCGTACGAGACCCCGCTTCAGCAGTGAGTAGAGTGCCAATTTTAAACCCTCGTATACACGCCGCATATATGTGAAAACCCGCACCCACACGCCACATAAAAGGGTAATAAATGTTTTAAAAAATGTGAATTTTCCCGTGTTTGCATACTTTGTCCGCGTAGCTCCTCCGAATACCCAGTAACATGCCGGCCCTGTGACACAGTTGAGGGGTCTCATACTACTGAGCTAATTACCCGGGAAAGTATGGTCATGCCATAGTCATAAAAGAAATATAGAAGTAGTAGGGTTTAGATCTAATTTTGGGCCTACTAAGCACAACCCACCTATTTTTCGAGTGGATTTTTTCACAAAATGGAATGTTTTCACTACAGATGACTTTTAAATTTATTTACCTTTCCGTACGTAACGTAAGATTTGCTAAAGAGAAACAAATTGATGAGATATTGCTAAAAATCTAACACTGCTTCATGACCCCAAACTCGGCCTGCGGATTTTAAATTAAGCCTAATACATTGAAATCCTATTCATAATTTAACCAATGATCTTTTGCTCAGTAAGCAAAAACTGGTGCCACTTGACCACTGAGCTACTCACATAACTACAAACAATTACGAACAACATGCCCGATGACATGAAGCAACCGGAATTAAATCTTCAAACCAGTAGCTAATGCATTTTAATAGTTCTTTGTATATCAAGTATCCATGCAGTATAACATAGTTAGGAATTAAATCTTTAGAATGTATACTGAAAATGAAAATCAAACGCATCAAACACAAACAATTTTTGCTTACCATTCCTTTCAGTTGCATTCTTCCGCTGCAGCCTCTACTTCTCGTGGATCTGCGTGCTGCTCTTCATTCTGGACAAATGGCTACGAACCTATGCCGCAAAGATGGCCCCCGACTCTTGGCTAGCACGGCTCATTAGCTACCCTTACCTGAGAATCATACTCCGACTGGATGGAGCATCGGTAGGTCTTCATTGTCATCACATTTTACGATTTCACGTGCCACGTGTCTTGTTTTTCAGAACTACGATACCCTGCATCAGAAAAATCTAGAATGGCGTGACTTTGTGAAGATGTTGGATAGAATTGTCTTCTTGGTAATGGCCGGAATACTGATTGTTTCTTGCTTTAAGAAAATTTGAATTTGATTTTAACTTTCAACTACACAATATTATTCAATCTGAGCATCTGAAAATTTAGAGAGAACTATCAAATAAAGAACAAACACCATTTTAAAACATTTTATTCACTTCAGTATAATCTAGTACGGTAAGCATTCAGGTTACCCTCGCGTTCCCGTTTCTGAAACTCCTCATACAACTTCAAAACGAACCGATCCAGCGCAATCTGTTGTTTCCATCTCTTTTCCATCAGCATGTTCATCTGTTCCTCGACTTCGTCCTCGATGGCTTCCTCCGGAATTTCAAGTATGAAGAAATCCTTTCGCACCAGATTGTTGCTTGTGGGCCCTGGAACATTTCATTATCATTTCAATTCTGTTATTGAGAAAGCTTCTCGCATCTATTCTGCAGATCACCTTCAAACTGTCCAACATCTTGTCGGGTATTGTATCGATTCTGTGGTCTTAATTCAACCAATTGTGCCAACATCAAACAGAACACGATTGACCAAACAACGGATGACCCCATTGCCATATTTTCACGCTTTCTAAAATCACGCCTTGGAGAAGCAAACTACGATGTACTACCTGTCACTCCCTGACTTGAACTGCGACCCAGCATCCAGCCGAACAAAGTCTTTATTGAGGATGGACCGCATTTTTATTTCAACTTGCTTCGAGGTCTACTACCTACCACTTTTGTTTGAATATTAAATCAGGCATATCGAAAATATTTGTCAAATGGTGCGCCTCTCACGCACAAACACGTGTGAGTGCTCACCGTCTCCGCACGTGTTGGAAGATATAAATTTTCCTCTTTGGAGACGATTCGATAATGGTCAACCCGATCAGCAAGTCTTTTACTGGGTCATATTTGCATCTTTTCGTCGATCGGACTTGACGCTTAGATAACAGCGCGTAAGTTTCGTGTAACACACAAATTCGACGACGATCCGTGCACTAATCGGAGCGAGGTATCTTTTTTTTTCAAGCTGATTTATGATTTGTGTTAAAGTTGAGTCAGTTCAGTCAACATTCATCAGAGGAAAACTCAACTCAACACGTGTCATGGCAGCGTGACTGACACAATCACAATTGCAAACGGAACTATCGTAGCATACCGTCCACTGCGTTCATTCAAGTGAGGTGGACATTTTCAGTTGTGATGTGTTGTTCCGATAATGAGCTGTTAAGCTTTTTCCCTCACGCAGTCCGGGATAGTGGCTGAATACACCTATAATTTAACAAAAAGCTGCAATTGATCAGCTATCACGGCGGCGCGGAAATCTGTACTGGCAAGGCTGTCATATTACAACGTATTGCAAATTATGTGTGCATACACACTAACTTTAGATTACTGGAGTCAGTAAAATTTTACTGGGTTTTTGAATTGCGGATCGCCCAGTAATCATCACAGCAAAAATTTGCATTACCGAACTGTCCGTAAAGTCAATCTGTCAAAAGTAACTGTTCATTCAGTAATTGGTTCGAGTTGCGTATACTGGAAAACCCAGTAATTTTTTGTTGTTTATTTCGCTGCAATTTAACTGACAAGACAGTTATTTTGTTCATTCTTGTACCGTGTTACCCAGTTATATTAAAAGTTTTGTCAGGAGAAAAAAAAAACTATTTAATTTTAATAATAATAAGATACCCGGGCGGAAAATCATTTATTGCATTTATTTTGAATTGCATTTAATATTGCATTTTATTTTTCTCAAATTTTCAGGATACTGATAAGAAACAACAACAACCATAAAATCAATCCAAACTACGGAGAAACTTTTCACCCGTACTTGCTATATTTCCCCCATAAATACTGACTTGAAGGTTGCAAAGAATTGCTGAGAAATTCCTATTCAAAGGAATAGTGACGTTCTTCCACGAGATAATTCCATCGGTGTTGCCTTCAGAGAATTTTCCACGGACGTAATGTGTAGGAGTTTCATGGTTTAATTTTGGTATTGGGTCATCCATCTAATAGAATCGAAAATAATCGGTCACAAGCCATAGCCAAATCATGCACTATACGTAATTGAATACATTCAACGATTCCGTCTTTCCGTCGTTCATGTTTTCTTGCAAATTTTCACAAAACTGCGCGATAAAACACTTGCTCCCGTACTCGGAAAAAAATCCGTTCCCGAAAACGGGAACGGACCGTGAACTAAAAATCACGGCCAACTATCCAGAACAAAATTTTCTCAAATATACACCGTGAACTATGGTTCACGGCTGTGGTTCACGAATATATTTTACTGAAGCTAAATGGCGGCGGGAATAAAATTGACAGGTTAGAGTCTTACAATTCGTGGTCAGTAAAACAAGGTGGCTATTTTTCTGACCAGTCGGTAAAAAAAATAAGACTTCTTTGTGCACAGTTATTATTTTTACTGACTTTTCGTGAAATCTCAAAAATTTGGGAATTAACGACTTTCTCAGTAAATATATATTCTGTGTACAGTATTTTGCATCAAACGATACCGAAGTTCAGTTTCTGTTTTACAGATCGTCGGTTATTCACCAGATTTAAACTGAATTTTCAGCAAATCTTTCGTTTTACCGTGCAAGCCCAGTACAAAAAAATACCGAACAACTAAATGCTTGATTAGTGTGTATTGATAGTTTGTCATGTTGGGACGTTTTCGTGTGATGTAAAATATTCTATTTAAGTCCAGTCACCACCGATAATCACGTTTTTGAAACGTTTTAAAGTTTCTAAAATCTTTGTGATGTCTTCTTCGAAAACTTCGTTTTTTGCTAATGGAATAATGTAGACTGATGCCACTACGATTTCTCTACTAGGAATAGCAACTGGAATCGCTTGTAAGCTTTCCGATAAACTCGCGATGACCACTCTCTTGTAGTTGATATAATTTCTCAGGCAGATCGCAGATCCCCCGTAATTATCTTCTCTTGAATGAAAAATGCTTTTGTATCTCGAAATCCTGTAGCGAGAACCTTTCTCGCACGACTCCTGAGACCATGTTTCTGATAATAATGCAATTTCATATTCTTCGCCGATCAACACTCTTTGCAACTCTTCTCTATAATGAGAGAGAGAAGGATTAGTAATTTCCATTTAATTCCACTACCTTCTTTGCTTATCCGTGACAGATACGCGTTTTTCGTCTACAATGTGCAGACTTCTTCAGTGTTTTGTACTAATGCACATTGTAGACGAAATACGCGTATCTGTCAAGGATAAGTTAATAAGTTTGTGGAATTAAATGGAAATTACTAATCCTTCTCTCTCTCTCATTATACGGGTATTCCACTAAGACGCCCACATTCATCAGGTTTCTTCTCAATGTTTGCTCAAACTTTGTATGTTACAATGAATTATTTGTATTTTTCCTTCCATTTAAATTATCGTTTGATTGAGTTGAAAATGCTTTTATACTTCTTTCTTCACCTTTTCTTTCATGTCAACACTCAAACTTTCATCACTGATAAGCTTCGAATAGAAGCTCATAGCCTTGTTTTGATATTTGTTCGTTACACTTGAATCAATTTTCTGATTCTCTTCCTGCATCATGCTCTTCCATTTTTCCAGCTCGTATACTTTGTATGGGTTTTGCAATGCTACCAACAATCAATACCAAACTAACGATTTCAAATTGGCTCACTACTTCACTAGCCTATTGGTTCCAAGCAAATCGACTAACGTACCCAATTCTAGTATAAATTCCAGTACTACACTATGTTTGGTTTTGATTCGCTATGAAAGTTTGACAGATAAAATGAGGGGTTAGTGGATTTTCCTATGTTTCGAGGGGTGAATCGTTTAGCTTGGGACCGAAGATAGTAGCAGAGCTGAGCCAAAAAGTTGAGCTCGTTTCTTCGGGACCTTCTGGTCTTAGAGTTACCTCTATGATGCTACTCCATTCACTTGCTGATTTCCATTCGATGTAGTTGACGGTCCTGGTAGGGGTTCTGATTGATTTTTTGTGTTCGATGGTGATTCCGTATGTGCTGATCTCTTTCGCTTGTTTTGCTGTTGTAGTTTCTTCTTGTCGGCATACAACTTGATGACAGGTGTGATAGGTGTTCTCGGGTTGTTCGTTTGTTGCCTTTGCTATTCCAGGTTAGGGACTGTTCTTAGACAGTTTTTTGGGATTTTTGGACATCCCCCCACCCTCCCCCTGCGTAGACAATTGCCAAACATTTTTTTTTAAATTTGTATGGGCCGTGGGTAATTGCCAACCCCCCCCCCCTCCCTAAAATGTCTACGTAGTTTATTAACAGCCCTTACTATCTTTTGAGAATGTTTCCGCCAGTGTTGGCATATCCTGCTGTGAGTACAGTGGGTCCAAGATGTTGGTTGAGGTGTACGTGTAATATTCCTTCACGATTATTAGGATGGGTCATTATGATCTTTTTTGCAGAACAATGTTTTTTTGGTTCCATTTGGGGTCCCAAAAAACTGTGCAAAATTTGGGGACGATTGGTTGTAACCCGGCTTTCCGCATTGCGTTTGAAATTTGTATGGAAATTAGCATAGGAAAACCTACTTTTTTGCATCTTTCTTACTAGGGACCACAATTTTACAAAAAAATTGCATCTAAATACGCTAAAGTATAGCCCAGAAAGTGCCTAACTACTTTGCTAAAGGATGTATGGTGCTAGAATGTATCTAAAAAAAGTTATAGCTGTTCAAAGATCAATGGTTCTAATTAAATGCCAAAAATCCCTTTTCCTGCCAACACTGCCGGTGTACCAATGAAAGTCAGACTCCAAACTGAAATAACTTCGGAGTTTCTTATCTTATCGATTTGGTATGTTCAGATGAATTATTCAAAAACAATTTTTTAATCTCATAGGCATATTAAGTGATGAGGGGGGGGCTAACTATACCCCCGCCCCTCACTCATTTTAATGGAAGTAAAGCTTCAAACTGCAATAAATCCGGTGTTTCTGATCTTGTCAAGTTGGTATCATATGTATTCAAAAACATGTGCTCCATTTAATAGACGTAGTTAGACATGGGGGGGGGGGGATTTCTGTATCCTTTGCACCCCTCACTTATACCAATGAAAGTAAAGATAAAGACTGAAATAACTTCGG